GTTTGGTATTTTGTTCTGTGGTGAAGACTTCCAGGCTTCTGAGCTTAGGCTCCTGCTGCCCTTGCCAAGGATGCTCTCGTGGTACGGCAAACATTACGCTACTTTGTGTGAAGCCTGCTGGCTTTCACACAGCCTCTTTTTCTTCCCCTACCTTGATGTCTTCTCCTCATCCTGGAAACCTGGGGAGGCCAAACACATTTAACCCCCTTCAGCAGGACACAGTGAAATGAATGCTGGCTGTTAAGGCGCTCTAGTGTAGCTGGTTCACTGTTTCTACCCTCAATTGGTAATCTCCCTTTCCACCCACTTCTACTAAAAGGTGCTAATCGTGTGGTGATACACAACTTCCCTGCCCCAGAGAGCAGCAGCAGCACTTCTGATCCTTTTAGTTCTGGCTAAACTAATAGAGAGACCTGTGTCCTGAGCCCGATTCCAAGTCCTGTGTAACAAATTCCTTATTAAATCCACAGAAAAGTCATTTACTAGTGGTTAGACTTCAGGCTGTTCAGGACAGCAGTCACTTCTGAGAAGTTACGCACGTCTGATGCAAAATTACAAAAATGGGTATTTACACTGTGACCAATGGGGCTGACAAGCTCTAAGTGAATATTTATATTTGGCATTGAACCTTATGCACAAATACTGACTTTGGCTGCGTGCGTAGCATCCAGGTTTAGTTTTAAATCCATTTATACTGATGGTCCAGGTGCAGGGAATTACCCCTGCGCTCTCAGAACCCCAGATTTTGGAGGTCTCATCGTGCTGAAAAGGCTATTAAGAGGGTGCTCTGAGCATTCCTGGTCTGTTGCTCCACGGAGGGTACGGACCATCAGCTGCTTTTGGAGCTGAAGCAAAGAAGCAGGAGCAACTGTTGTGCTGCTGGGGTGAGGGATGATTCCGGCAAGGGAGACGGGGATGCTGAGCTGGTGCAGAGGGATAATTGGGATAACCCTGGTGCTGTGTCTCTGGCCACGCTCTGGAAGCATCTGCAATGTCCCTTCACAATGTTTTTGTTGTTAAAGATACATGTGGTGGGGGAAAGGAAGAGGTGGAAAGAAGTGTGTTAACAGGGTCCTCTTGCAGTCAAGAGTGCTCTCAAGCAAGTAGTTGCACACAGCTGGCACCGCTGAGAAAGCGGCATCTTCTGGAGGCAAAGGTGGGAATTCCTTCAGGTGGATTTACCACCAACTGAACAGCACCGTGGGGTCCAAAACATTTAGCTGCAATGAGTTTGGTTTGAAAACAGGTGCCATAGCTTCACGTGTGAGTCTAGAAATTTACTCCTTTCGCTTTTTGATTCGACTGCTGGCATTAATGAGAAGAAGTGCTGAAGGACTCGCCTAAGGCTTGTGAGCAGGCAAGAGCCCAAACTCCATGAAGAATCCCCAAATGCTCAGTGGGGTGCACTGCCCATGCCACCTCACTGAATTTGGAGGCCGGTGGGACAACTTGCTGCGCTAATACCACGATGTGAAAGAAATACCCCACCAAGGCAGTTGGAATTCAGTTTGACCGTATTTTTAGCCCTGATTTCTGCCAATGGTGCCTGTCTTGGTAGGTCAGTGTCTGGAAGAGTCAAGAGGGAAGCACTGTCTGCAGGATGCAGCATCCCAAAAGCTCCAGCTGGATCAATGTGTGAGCCCACCAGCTGACATGGTTCCTCCAGGAACCATCCATGAAGGCAGAGACACTCAACTGTGGCTTGAAGAGTGTTTAACACACTGGGAATGATCACCTCCTGGTGCATGTCCGTGACTGAATGAAGTCATGCTATACGCGGGTTGCCAAGCTTTTCACACGTGACTTTGACAGCATTATTTGCTGAGGAAGGAAGGTTTCCAGGGGAATTGATAAGAAAGGATGTAGTAGGGTTTTGGAAAGAAAACAACTTTTGCTATGAAAAGAAAACATCAACCCTGAAACTTTTTTGAGGAGACAAATTGCTTTCTAAAAATGGGCCGTGGCTCCTTGGTGTTTCCACAAGAACTTACTCTGTGCCTGTGGTGGCTGTCGCTCTGTTTAACGTGGCAGTGGGAGCTAAGGGAAGCAGCTGCGGCAGAAAACAGGAGTCAGTCGGTGCCCACATCTCTTCCCAAGTCAAAATTTCAGTGCTTGCTGCCTTTCTGTGCTTCTTCTCAGATTCTCCACTGTCCTTGTCCCCAAACATGGTGTTCTTCATGTCCCCATAAACACCATTGCCATGAAGTTCTGGTAGCAATTGCACACCAGGGCTTTGAGTGTGCCTACCAGACCCCGTGAGCACTGCTGAGTTACTGTTCCCACACAGATTCCCGAAGCAAACATTGCTGCTGTAATCTAAAAGAGCAAAAAATGTTTGGAAAACAGCAGATGCAATGGGAAAATGACACTTCCTACATGTGATAATTGCGCAACCTTAACTCTGCCCTTGGAGTATGTCTGCTTCTCGCTGTATTGTTCGGGAACTTGTGTGGTGTAGGGAAGAAAAAAAAAAAGTAATTGGAAGTCTTCGTCTGTACAAATCGCAGCTAAAGCGGTTGGTGGAGGTGCTGGCAAGGGTTAAATTACCTGCATGGGGCTGAGGGGGGGAGATGGGACTGGGTAGGGTAAATGGATTGTATTTATCTATTAAATACAGACAGGTGACCATCAGCACAATTTGACTGTTATGATGGGCATCGGTGGAGGGGAAAAAACCCCTCTGTGGCTTGGGAGTGAGTCTGGATCCCTAAGGCTTTAAAGCACAGGACATGGCTGTGCTTTACCCTGTCGTGGTAGGAGCATATCCTGCCTTAAGCCACCTACATTGGTTTGCTCTTTAAGTAGCAATTTTCTATATTTTTTTATCTTGTATTCAGCCATAGGTGGTTAACTTTGTTCAGGCTGTTTTCACCCTCCAGCCCCACTCTCCGGGCACGGCCCCGTGCAGCCACCGGCTGCTGGTTCTGGCCTGGGGATGGAGTTTGCTCATCACTTGGTTTAGTCGCCTTTGGGAAAGTGGGGTGAAAAGATGCCTGCCCTGCAGGGCTTGCGCTGGTGCAGCTGGACCAACTTGTGTCTTTCTTGACCGCTCGTGTCTGCTGCCCTTCCCGAGGTGTTCCTTGCCCCCATCTCCTCCCGAGGAACCGGCCCTGCCTGAAGAGGGGCTCAGCAAAGATCATAGAATAGTTAGAGTTGGAAGGAACTAACTTAAAGACCATCCAGTGCCACTCTCCCAGGGACACCTCTCACCAGCCCAGGTTGCTCCAAGCCCCATCCAGCCTGGCCTTGAACCCCTCCAGGGATGAGGCAGCCACAGCTTCTCTGGGCAACCTGTTCCAGTGCCTCACCACCCTCACAGCAAATAATTTCTTCCTAAGATCTAATTTAAATCTCCCCTCTTCCAACTTAAAACCGCCACCCCTTGTCCTGTCAGGATGGCAGGGGCTTGTCCTCGCCATGTCCCTGCAGGCTCAGTGGGGGAGCAAGGCCGAGCTTGGGGCCCGACTGCCGCTTTTTGGGAAGGGCTGTTTTTTTTTGGGAAGTGCTGCTTTTTTGCCACCCCGGGAGTTTTGCAGAACCACAGCTTGTGCTTTCGGGGGAGTTGATAGATCGCTGAGGGACCGATGGGGGCACTTCTGGACGACGGCAGCAGCGCTGTGGGGTGCTGTGCGGGCAAGTGACCTGGCCCAAAGCGGGAAGGACATTCATAAAGGCAGCCGGCGGGGTGTTCGTGAAGGGACAGCAGCGGGCACAGAGCAGGAGGTCGCTCCCGGCCGCACCGGCCCAACGGGGGAACCTCCACCGCGGCGGGGCCCGGCCGCCCTTCCCTCAGGAGCGGGCCTGCGCCCCCCCTCACCGCCCCCGGGCAGGCCGGGGCCGCGCTCTCCCCTCAGGGGCTGCCGCGGGGACGGCGACCAGCCCCTCGGCGGGGGAAGGGACGGGAGAGGAAGGGGCCGCCTGAGAGGAGCCCGCTCTCCCGCCGCGGCGGGGTCCCGGTGCGGGGCGGAGGAAGGGAAAGCAGTGAGGGAGGCGGCCCGAAGGGGCTTCCCGGCCGGGGGCGGAGGTGGGACCCGCCGGGGAGGCGGCGCGGGGGGCGCTCCCCGCTCTCCTCCCCGCCGGGGCTGGCGGCGGGGCCGCCCCCATTGGCCGCGGCGCGGCAGCGAGCTCCGCCCGCCGGAGCGGCGCGGCGCGGGGAGGGAGAGGAGGGAGGAGGAGGGAGGGCGCCGGGCTGCGCTGCGCTGCTAGTCTGGAGCGGAGCCTGGCAGCGGCAGG